AGTCTGACCCTCCCACACCCTACAGAAGTATCTGCTGCTGTCAGTGAGGTCAGCGCCCTTCCCTACCCAGGAAAACCAACGGCCACTGGAGGGCAGCAGAGAGCCACGATCCCAACCAGCCCGGGACAGAAGCAGCTTTTTGTCTGTTTTTCTTTAAGTAACCTCTGCCATCCCGTGGGTCTGAAATAGCCAGAGACGTGGCCGTGCAGACGAATCCAGTGCCGGTGGAGGAGAGGTGGGAGCGGGGTGCATTGTACTCCAGCCTCCGACCTGCTGCCCTTGGCAAGGCTGCCAGCCTCTCTGTGCATGGGCGTCCTGATCTGTCACATGGGGGTAATAACAGCATGGACTGCAGGGGGCTGGCGACAGTAAAGAGAGTGAAGTGCGTGGCGGCAGCGCAGGCCAGCCCAGGAGGACCCGGTGGGAGCTCCTACTGACTGCGGAGAGGATTAGCAGGGGCCCCGCTGACGACAGCCTGGGGGAGGTGCAGGGAAGGGGCTCGCGGGAGGGTGGTGGGAAACACCTGCAGGCAGAGGGTGGGTGTGATTCTGGGCACCTCAAAAGCCACACCCAGAGCCAGGGGCCGCTGCCAGGCAGGGGCTGCAGCGGGGAATTTCCCATGCCTGAGGTCCCCGTGGGCAAGGCCCCCTCCTCAAACCCACAGCCATCCCCAGGCCCAACTTTCAGGGGTGCTGGGAGGTCTGCCTGTCTCCCAAAGACCCACTGTAGTCACTGGCAGACCGGGACCTGCATGAGGGTGACCCAGGAAGGCAGGTCTGGGACTCTCTGGAGAAGGCAACCGTGCTCTCAGCAAGCCTGTTCCAGGGCCGTCTGTCTGTGTGGTCCTGAGCTGACACCCGAGGATGACTCCCCACCCTCCACACATGGCAAAGTGCAATAGTAGCACCCTGGCCATGGCACACTCACAGCCCCACCAGCACAGAACTTCAGGGAGCAGGGGCACCCAGGGAGTGAACCAAGGTTTCGGCCTGTGGCAGGCCCTGAGCTCAGAAGGATGCAGGGGCTTTGCCCAAACCCACGCTAGGTGCAGGCTAGGGGGCCGCTCCAGGAGGAGGAAGAGCCCCGGACGGATGAGGGGAGAGGCTGGTTCTGAATGTGGAGGAGCCGGATGCCTGAAGACTGAAAAGTCAGCAGGGACTGGGGCTTCCTAGGAGGTAGTGAGGAGGGGGCACCCCAGACCCAGTGAGATCACACCTAGGATGTCCCCAAGAAATCCTCAGGGGTGGGGGCAGGGTGTGCATCGTCACTGGGGGAGGAGCAGGGCGTGCATCGTCACTGGGGGTGAGGCCAGGATGGGCATGGTCACTGGGGGTGGGCAGCCATGTGGATGAACCCAGAGACCAGTGGGGAAAAGGGAGATGTGCCCAAGATTGATGTCTAGAGGTGCCCACACCCTCACACACCCAGGTGCCCTGGCACGCACAGCCCTGCTCACACAGACGTGGGAGTGGGGATGACTGAGTGTGCGCACAGCAGGGAACAGATAAATGAATTTAAAGACATAGAATAAGTTTAAAGGCTAAAGAAGGGCCCTGTGCAGGCCAATCCTGAGTGGAAATGAATGCAGGAGTCCAGTTACCCCTGCTTAGAGGGGAAAACCAGTGTTTTAAACTCAGGACCTAGAGTCCGGAGGAAAGAGGTTCCAGATAAGACCCGGATAAGGAACTCCTCACCCCCTCCTCCCTCCAGAGACTAGAGCAGAGGGGGAGGCCCACAGGCAGCACAGCCTTCAACTCCTGGTTTCCCCAGAAGACGCTGTGGGCATTTGACCAAGTAACCTCTGAAGCCCCCTCCAGGACACTGTGACAATTTATACCAATCTGCACTTTTACTCCTTGAGCTCTCATCTTTGCGGGCCAGCTCACATGATGACAATGGCTCTTCTGGTCAACTTATCCAGACTCTGTCCTGAGAGGAGTAAGCAGGGCCCAGTCTACCCAGGGCCCTCCCTGTCTTCTGGAACACCCTACGAGTCCTTCTGAGACAGTGGCCAGCTTTGCCCCACCCCAGAGCAGCTGAGCCAGCGGTGGAATGACTCTAATGACAGACAGCTGTGAGCTCCTGCTGTGGCCCAGGCCCAGGGCTCTAGGGGTCAAGGAGTCAGGAAGAAGAGCCGTGCCAGGAGGGATGCCAGTGGGGGGGCGTTTGGGGGTGGGTGCCCCATCTCAGTCACATGGGCCACCTTCTCCACCTGTACTGAAGAACAGCCCAGAAAATTGGCTCTTTATCTTGGCTTCACTCACTCTGCTGAGGGGCGGGATATTCAGCAGAGATCTTAGAAACCGGACGAATCTCCGGGACAGGAAACCTGAGAGTTTAGAGCCAGCAGGGACCTTTGAGATCATCTCATTCACCCTCATCTTGTTGATGTGAAAACAGGCTGAGATGGGAGTGGCTGGCCTGTGGTCACAGAGCGGGTCCTTAAACTTGCCCTCGGCCTGGATATGCATCGCCTCCAGAAACACACAACACTGGAAATGAATCCAGATGGCTTTCCAAATGGGCAAAGGCAGCGCCAACCCGGTTTCTCCTCCTGGACGCATTGGAACAACCAGCCAAGCAGCCCCAGAAGATCACTTCCTCCCACCTCCAGCCTACAGGTGACACTTTTGAACCCCCAGAGCCTCCATTTGCAGTTTGGACTCTGCCTTTCTGTTCACCTGTAGATCTCAGGCCTGAAAAGTCTTGTTATGGTGGAATCGTGTTTCCCTCAAAATTCATCTTAGCACTCCAACCCTCTTTACGTCAAAATGTGACTGTATTTGGACATAGGGCTTTTATAGAGGTGGTCACACTAAAATGAGGTCACTATGGTGGACCCCAATCCAACCTGACTGGTGTCCTTAGAAGAAGAGGAAATGTGGACACACGGGGCCATCATGGGTGCAGGTGCACAGACAAAACACCACGTGTGGACACGGAAACAAGGCGCCCACCTGCAGGCCAAAAAAAGAAGCCTCCGCAGAAACAATCCTCCTGGTGCCCTGATCTCGGACTCACAGCCTCAGACCTGGGAGAAAACGACCATCTGTTGTCGAAGCCCCAGGCCGGGCTATTTTGTTCTGGAAGCCCTAGGAAACTCCTCCAGACGTCTTCACAGACGGCCCTGGCACTCCCAGGCCCATGCCCAGGGTGAAACCTCCAGGAAACCCAAGCCCAGGGCGACCTGCCAGTCACAGGTAAAGGGCTGCCTGGCTGGCTGCTGCCCACACAGGCTCACAGCTCACAGGGAGCCGGGTCTGAAGCCCCATCCGCTCAGAGGTGCCTTCTCCAGAAAGCCCGCGGGAAGATGCCACCACCGTAGCTCTTCACACCGCTGTCCCTCTCTGAGCTCCAGCCTCACCCCATCCAGCACACAGTGTAACATACGGGTGGGTTTGAGAAAACAGTGGACACCCAGGCTCTCTTCCGTGCTCAGACCAACTCTGAGAGGAGACGGCCCTCTCCAAGAGCTGGCCCATCCAGGGAGGCGGCGCCTGGAACGGGGTGAGGGCTGCCGCGGGGACAGTACCACCCCCACCCGTGGCCCTGGAGAGGTCCAGCAGACAGGGGCAGATCCCGCTCAGCGAGAGGGACTGCGGCGCTGCTCTACTCCCAGGCGCGCCGGGCAGGTCTCCCTGCAGCCGTTTCGAGAATGTTCAGGGGACCCCTGGCTTCGGGTCATCCGCGGAGGCTCCAGGTCCTCTCCAGGGCGAGCTGCGAGCGAGCTGGGGCGGCGTCGGCCTGGGGGACTCCCGCGATCGGACTCGCAGGCTCGGGATGTTCCTGGGCGCGACCAGAGGACGCGCTGCCGTTCCCAAGGGATGTCCCCGCTCCGCTGCAGCCCAGAGGCGGTTCCTTGAACCGCTGTTAGACACTTTCCGGTTGCCAAGCCCTGGAAGAAAGCGCGGACACGGGGAAGTCGCGGAGATGCTGCTGCTCCCAAGGCGGGAGCGGAGGACGACAAACGGGTGTAGCGCGATCTGCGCTCGCTCCTGGGAGTGGCTGAGACCGGACTGAGCGCGGGCTCTTCCCGAACACAAACCAGAAGCTGAGGCTGCGGCAAACGGGCCCACTATCCAGGCTTGTCTCCTTCCTGCCGCTGCTGGGGGTACGCACGGTCCTCGCCCAGCCTCCTGCTCGGCCCCTGCAGCCCCCGCACCCGCCTTTCCCTTGCAGCTCCGTGCGCCCAGCGCCGCCTCTTCACATCTCCTGGGCGGAGGCCCCTCTCCATCGCGCAGTGCCGTCCACCGTTGTCCGCCTGTGCGGCCTCGGTCTTCCCTTCTTCCTCACCCCCACCCTTCCCTTCTGGGGAGAAAGATCCTTCCGTTTTGTTTCCTTCATGCTGTGTCCCCTGGGCCTGGAACTGAGCTGCCTTGGCACAGCTGTAGATCCAGTGAGTTTTTCTTCAGTCTTACCTAGTGCTAGTGCGTGTGTTAATTGCTCTAACCCTCGTCATCCACCTGTAAGAAAGGCGCTGCTCTCAACCCATTCTACAGACAAGGAACTGCCACCTCCAGGGGTTGTGTAACTCGCACCCTGACAGCCAGTGCAGGAGCTCACCACCCCCCAAACACACACACACAGGCGGCCCCTGCAGAGGGCCAGCACGTTCAACGCCACGACCCTTCTGCAGCCCCGAGCGCTCGTCAACAGATGCTTTTGTCTTCTAGATTTAAAAAGACAGCTGTGGAAAATAAAAACCAGTGCCCCCATCTCCTCAAGGACCAGTACTTTGCACATCACACCCAAAGCACAGCAGCACACATTAGTGCCTCCTATAGACGCACAGTATTGGGTGGACGTCCCCGTGTTGACCATAAACTGGATCCTATGACGGATCCTCATTTCGTTTCTGTAACACGCACTTTTCGTTTTCTAAACCCATCCATTGGCAAGGTCTCTATTCCGATAGTTTTGGATTGGATGACTTCCGTCACGCCCCTCCCAGCTTCAGTCTCGCGGTGATCGCTCATCTCCTTCATTTACTTGGCATCTCCTTAAATTTATTCACACCTTGTTTATTTATACAATTACTTTACTTTGATTACAAGCAATACTAGCAAGACCTTCAAGTTTCAAGGTGCAAGTTACCTGCCCTCCAAGGCTGCGGTAAAGCATTATGTAAACATTAATTATACTCTGGGTCACAGGAATCATTTTGCACAATGCAACTGTCACCTGAGCTGATCCCAGGGAATCACTAACTGCCTGTTGCTGTGTTTGGAGGTTTGTTTTTATGGTTTAGCATTCTATAACAGCTTTATTGGGGTACAATTCAATACAATAAAATCCACTCATTGTAAATACACAGATCAATGATTTTTTAGTCACTGCATAGGATTCTGCAACCATCACCACAATCCGCTTTTAAAACAGTTCCGTTACCACAAAGATTTCCAACATGCCCATCTGCAGCCAATCCTTGCTCTCAGCCTCAGCGGTACACAAGAAGTGATCTGCTTTTCCTCTGTTTTCATCTGCCTTTTCTGGAAATATCATATAAATAAACAGTATTAGTGGAATTGCTAGTTTCAAGTTTCACTTTGCTATGCCAAAAATTTAAACATAGGGTTACCATACAATCCATCAATTCCACTCCTAGGTATATATAAAAGAGAGTTTTATATATACCTTTTTGTCACGTAAAAAAATGTACACAAAATATATATGGCATCATTTTTCATTATAGCGAAAAAGTGGAAACAAAGGCTAGGCAAGGTGTCCCATGCCTGTAATCCTAACACTTTGGGAGGCCAAGGTGGGTGGACTGCTGGAGGCCAAGAGTTCCAGACCAGCCTGGGCAACATAGGGACCACGTCTCTATAAAAAATACAAAAATTAGCCAGGTGTGGTAGTGTACACCTATGGTCCCAGCTACTTGTGAGGCTGAGGTGGAAGGATCACTTGAACCAAGGAGGTGGAGATTGTAGTGAGCTATGATGGCTCCTCTGTACTCCAGCCTGGGTGACAAGAGTGAGAATCTGTCTCAAAAAAAAAAAAAAAAAAAAAATGGAAACAACATAAATGTTCATTCATTGATAAATGGATAAACAAAACATGGCATAATTCATCTAATGCAAACATTTATTAATTTACTTATTTGTTTATTTATTTGGAGACAGGGATTCACTCTGTCATCCAGGTAGCAGTGCCCTGCTGTGATTGCAGCTCACTGCAGCCTTGGACTCCTGGGCCCAAACAATCCTCCTGCCTCAGCCTCCCAACTAGGTGGGACTACAAGCACGCACTACTATGCCCAGCTAACTTTTTTTTTTTTTTTTTTTTTTTTTTTTTTTTTGTAGAGACATGGTCTTGCTATGTTGCACAGACTGGTTTCCAACTCCTGGCCTCAAACAATCCTCCTACCTCAGCCTACCAAAACGCTAGGATTACAGGGGTGAGCCACCATGCCTGGCCTATTTGAAATTTTTAATTGAAAAGCAAAAAATGAACAAAAAGAATTTGGGCCCACATATACTCAGTTATTTGATTTTCACCAAAGGCACCAAAGCAATTCAATGTAAAAATAGTGTCTTTGCAACAATGGGTTCAGGAACAACTGGATATCCATAGGGGAAAGAAATTAACCTTAATCCCAACCTCACACCATAACAAAAAAAATTATATGAAAGAGTTTACACTTAAACATACAAGCTGAAATTTAGAAGTTTCCAGATTAAAAAAACATATGAGAGTCTTTTTTTTTTTTTTTTTTTTTTTTTTGGAACAGGATCTTGCTCTGTTACCCAGGCTGGAGTGCAGCAGTGAGATCTCTGCTCACTGCAGCCTCCATCTCTCAGGCTCAAGCAATACTCTCACCTCAGCCTCCCAAGTACCTACAGAAACTACAAGTGAACGCCATCACTCCCAGCTAATTTTTGGACGTTCTGTAGAGATGATGTCCCAATGTTGCCCAGACTGGTCTCAACTCATGAGCTCAAACAATTCACACACCTCGCCCTCCCAGAGTTCTGGAATTACAGGTGTGAGCCACCATGACATGCCAGTTCTTTGTTTTTTGTTTCTTGGGGTTTTCTGTTTGTGTGTTTTTTTTCTTTGTTTGTTTTTAATGGACAAGATATTTAAAGAGATACTTCACACAGTAAGATGAACACATGGGCCATAAACCCATGAAAAAGTGCCCATCTTTTCTTATCAGCTAAATGCAAACTTAAACCATAAGGAATACTACATACCCACAAATGGCTAGAAGTTAAAAAAAAAAAAATCAATGAAAAGTGCCAAATGTTGCCAAGGGGGTAGCCTTCATAACGCTTGCATACTGTTGGTGGGAGGAAAGTAATCTAAATGTCCAAGAGCAGTGGCTGCTAGGAAAATCTAGAGTTCTACCAAACAATAGAACAATAAAAATGGTGTTTTAGGCTACTTCCTCTTTCATTCCACTCCAATTTCTCTGGACACACAAGCTTCAGCTCTACTCACGAACACGTGGCCTCATATTCCCCAAGCAGCTTCTTCTGAATGTCTCTTCTCTTTGAAAATGGTGGGTGCCAGCGCGCCCCTGCTGTTCAACCCCCATACCCACTGTCGCCGGGACATCCTCTCTCAGGACTCTCGTGCCCACTTATGCCACCACATTGCACATGAAAACTTCCTTTTCTCGTTTCTTTCTTTTCTCTCTTTCGAGATAAGGTCTTGCTCTGTCGCCCAGGCTGGAGTGCAGTGCTGCAATCATAGCTCAGTGCAGTCTCGACCTCTTGGGCTCCAGCTATCCTGCCGCCTCAGCCTTCCAGGTGCTGAAATATCTTTGTGTGTGTGCTTATGCTCATTAATAAAGCTCGAAGGGACGCATGGAGGAAGCTCTGAATTACGATGAGGAAATAAAAAACGGCCCTGTGTGGTGGGTCATTACGATGGCACACGAAAACCAAGCAGGTTTCCGTAGTGTAGTGGTTATCACGTTCGCCTCACACGCGAAAGGTCCCCGGTTCGAAACCGGGCGGAAACATTTCCTTCTACTTTTTACCTCATTACTTCAAACGTATTACACTTAGGACTAGCCTACAACACTCCACCACTATCTCCACCTGGTTAAGGAGAAAAGGCTATACAGGGTATTTATACCGTTGCCTTTCCACCTCAACCACTGGAACCTGGGAAGAACTGAACCCACCTCACTTGCTGTGAACACCAGGTCCGAGGAACTCCCTACAAAGCCCGTCCACTGGACGGCTGCGCGCTGCCAAATGGAATCCAGATCCCGAGCAAGCGTGGGGCCCGAGGAAAGTTCCAACGAATCCTCCTTTTGTAACCTATGGGGGGACAAAAATGGACAAACCACGCCAAGCTGGCAGCGGTGGGATTCGAACCCACGCCTCCGAAGAGACTGGAGCCTTAATCCAGCGCCTTAGACCGCTCGGCCACGCTACCTTCCCCCTGGAACGCATTTACGTATTTTCCTGCTTTATACAATATCCCCAGAGTCCCCGGGCCTACAAGGCCTTAGGGCGAATCCACAGGGCGTTCCAGAACCACCGCCATCAGGCAGGATTCGCTGGGCCAGAGGCACCAGCTGAGAAACTACTCCACCAGCGCCCTGGCAGAGAAGATTCGCGACGCGCAGGCCTCGGGATCTGCTTTGGGGACCACTCAGAAAGTCACCCACATTGGCCCTCTTTGGAGAGGTGGCGTGAGAGGAGGGGAAGCCTTCTGCACTCTTACTTTAAAAAAAGATAAAAATAAATAAACCAGGGCAGACCCCGTCAGTCGGGCGGCCGCGAAGTTCTGCAGCCTCCGTGCCGCAGTCCACAGGCAGCAGCTCAGAGGGCGCGCCTCGGGGGAGAGCCACGGCCCGCGGGGTCCACGGCCCTGTTTGCGGGAGTGCGGCGCCCGCTGTGCCCGGATCCGCCCCGGCCCGGGGCTCCGGCCCGCCGTCCATCCGCGCAGCGGACCGGGAGCAGCCTCGCCGCGCACGGCCCCGCCGGGCTCAGTTCTGGACTCGCGCTTCCGCCGCCCCCGCCTGGCTCCCAGTTTCTTTCAGTCTCGGGCCGAACCGACCTTGTCCCCGGAATCTCCGCCTCCTCCTCGCGCCCCCTCCCCTCCGCCCGGTGCTTTGCTCTCCCCTTTCTTGGCTCGCCCGCGGCTGGCGGAGGAGAGGGGAGGAGACGGGAGGGGAGGGGAAGGGAGGGGAGGGGAGGGGAGGGGAGGGGAGGGGAGGGGACGGAAGGGGACGGGAGAGGAGGGGACCCCAGGGCCGAAGCGCCCCGGGGGACGGAGGTCGACCCGGTTTTCCAGCCGCTGCCCCGGCGGGAGTTCCGCGGGTCCCACGCGGCCACCTCCAGCCCCGCGCGGTCAGCGCCGACTTCATGAGCAACCTGAGCCCGCTGGAGGACAGCGAGGGCTTCCGCGATCGCCGGGACGCCGCCCCGGGGGCTGTGCGGGGACCTCCAGGGCCCGAGGCGGGCGGCCTGCGCTCCTCGCCGCCGCAGCACCCACACGGGACCCCGCCACCGCCGGGCCGCTCGCGGGGCAGCAGCGCAGGAGCAGCTCGTCCCATCGCAACGCGGGGCGCGACCTGTCCCACGCCGACCTCAGCACCAGGCAGTCCAGAGCTCGGCGGAGAAGCGGCTCGCGCTGTGGCAGATCTGCGAGTGGATGGTCAAGAGCGTGCCCTGCTTCACGGATGAGGGCGACAGCAACAGCTCTGCGGGCCGGAGGAATTCACGTCCTCATCTTCTGTTCCTACGCAGCAAGTTGACTGGCGCGCAGAACGAAGGAACTGGAAAAAGTGCTCGGTGGATGCTCGATCCAGAGGGCGGCAAGGGTGGGAGATCTCTTAGGACAAGAGCTGCATCCACGGACAGCAACAGCAAATGCGCTCGGACACAAAGCCGAGATGCCACGAAAAAAGCACCCCTGTAGTCTAGCGGGGCGGGGTGGGGGCCGGTGCCGAGGACAGCCCTGGACCCCAATTTTCCAAAAGGCCTGCAAGCCCTGGCTCTCACGGCAATGATGACTTTGATAGCTGGAGTACATTTCGCCCTCGAACTAGCTCAAATGCTAGTACTATTACTGGGAGACTTTCACCTATTATAACCAAAGGGGAAGATCTTAGAGATGGGGCTGTGCATTCTGTGGGGTACCGGTCATCTTCGGCAAAGATGGCCCCTACTCCACCCCGTATGTCTGAGAAAAGCAATCCCAAAACATGGAAAAGGTTTGGATAATCTCAACCTTCTCTGAGTACTGACATTATTAACTGTGTGGACCCAGTTCGCCCCTGGCTCCATGATGCAGCAGACGCCATGCTACTCATTTGTGCCACCAAACACCAGTGTGAATTCGCCCAGCCAAACTACAAAAAAATAGACGTAGTGCCAGTCCAACATGAGCCCTTTGCCCCAGATGCCTGTGCAAACGCTCCAGGACCACAAATCAAGTTGTGGAGCTGTGAGTCCGTGTAGCTGTGCAGCGGGACTCCTGGAGGAGTTGCTGACTCCTGACTCTCCTCCCCATAATGACATTATTGATGGGGGCCAGCCCCTCCACACCTGTGGATATTTCTGTCAGGTAGGACAAGAGACTGACAAAAGAAATAAGACAGAGACAAAGTATAGAGAAAGAAAAGTGGGCCCAGGTGTGGGTGTTTCTTGTCAGGTGGGATGAGAGACTGAGAAAAGAAATAAAACACAAAGTATAGAGAAAGAAAAGTGGGCCCAGGGGACCGGCACTCAGCATACAGAGGACCAGGGGCGCTGGCACTGGTCTCTTAGTACCCTCAGTATTTATTGATCACTATCTCTACTATCTCAGCGAGGGGGATGTGGCAGGACTATAGGGTAATTGTGGGGAGAGGGTCAACAGGAAAACATGCGGGCAAAGGCCTCTGTGTTATGAATAAGTTTAAGGAAAGGTGCTGTGCCTCCATGTGCACGTAGACCAGATTTATGTCTGACTTTACACAAATATCTCAGTGCAGTAAAGAGCAGTATTGCCACCAGCATGTCTCACCTCCAGTCATAAGGCGGTTTTCTCCTATCTAAGTAAATAGAATGTACAATCAGGTTTTACACCAGGACATTCCATTTCCAGGGATGAGCAGGAGACAGATGCCTTTCTCTTGTCTCAACTGCAAAGAGGCCTTCCTCTTTCACTCATCCTCCTCAGCACAGACCCTTTACAGGTGTCGGGCTGGGGGACAGTCAGGTCTTTCCCTTCCCACGAGGCCATATCTCAGGCTGTCTCAGTGGGGAGAAACCTCAGACAATACCCAGACTTTCTTGGGCAGAGGTCCCTGTGGCCTTCCGCAGTGCATTGTGTCCCTGGGTACTGGAGACTGGAGAATGGTGATGACTTTTACCAAGCATACTGCCTGCACACACATTTTTAACAAAGCACATCCTGCACAGCCCTACAGCCCCTAAACCTTGAGTCAACACAGCACATGTCTCTGCGGGCACAGGGTTGGGGCTAGGGTTACAGATTAACAGCATCTCAAGGCAGAATAATTTTTCTTAGTACAGAACAAAATGGAGTTTCTTATGTCTTCCGTTTTCTACATAGACACAGTAACAGTCTGATCTCTCTTTCTTTCCCCACAAGCATGACACCAGCAGATCCTGGGGTAGCCCAATCCAACAGCCAGGTTCTGGGCTGATGGTGATGGGCCTTCATTCAGTCATGTCGACCTATGGCAGCCAGGCATCTCACAACAAAATGATGCCTCCCAGCTCCCATACCCACCCTGGACATGCTCAGCAGACATCTGCAGGTGATGGCCGTGCCCTGCCTCACATGGGAAACATCAAGCCCCACACCTCAGGTATGAACCACCTGACCCCAGAGGAGACACCTTTACCGGTGCCTCTGCCCCACCCCATGCAGACGAGTGCCCTGGGCGCTACTCCTCCGTGAGCAGCTGCAGTGGCTATGGCAGAATGGGCCTCCTCCACCAGGGGAGGCTCCCAAGTGACTTGGACGGCATGCTCACTGAGCACTGGGATTGTGACGTGGAATCCAAGTCTTCATCTGGAATGACCTTATGGATGGAGACACTGAATTTTAACCTCCACAATGTGTTGCCCAACCAAAGTGCCCTGCACAGTGTCCAGAGGAGGCCACATAGCTGGGTGTCAGGCTGAGAATTAGCGACCAGGCTACGCTTAAAAGTACTTCAGATTGGCCGGGTGCGGTGGCTCGCGCCTGTAATCCCAGCACTTTGGGAGGCTGAGGCGGGTGGATCACGTGGTCAGGAGATCAAGACCATCCTGGCCAACATTGTGAAACCCCGTCTCTACTAAAAATACAAAACTTAACTGGACATGGTGGTGGGTGCCTGTAGTCCCAGCTACTTGGGAGACTGAGGCAGGAGAATTGCTTGAACCAGGGAGTCAGAGGTTGCAGTGAGCCGAGATTGCACCACCACTCGATCCAGCCTGGGCGACAGAGTGAGACTCTGTCTCAAAAAAAAAGAAAAAAAAAAAAAAGAAAGAAAGAAAAAGAAAAAAAACTTCCACAAAAATGTTTACAGTATAATTCTTCATGATAACCAATAAGTGGAAACAAAGGCTGGCAGTGGCTCAGGCCTGTAATTCCAGCACTTTGGGTGGCCAAGGCAGATGGACTGCTTGAAGTCAGGAGTTTGCGACCAGGTTAGGCAACATGACAAAACCCTGTCTCTATAAAAAAATACAAAAATTATGGCCGGACACGGTGGCTCCTGCTTGTAATCCCAGCACTTTGGGAGGCCGAGGCAGGCGGATCACAAGGTCAGGAGATCGAGACCATCCTGGCTAACACGCGGTGAAACAAAAAAATTAGCCGGGCATGGTGACGGGCACCTGTAGTCCCAGCTACTTGGGAGGCTGAGGCTGGAGAATGGTGTGAACCCGGTAGGCAGAGGTTGCAGTGAGCCAAGATCAGCCACTGCACTCCAGCCTGGGTGACAGAGCAAGACTCTGTCTCCAAAAAAAAAAAAAAAAATTAGCCAGGCATGGTGGTGTCCCCCTGTGGTCTCAGCTACTTGGGAGGCTAAATTGGGAAGCTAACTTGAACCCAGTAGGTGGAGGTTGCGGTGAGCCAAGATTGTGTCACTGCAGCCTGGGGCACGGAGTGAGAACTTGTCTCAAAAAAAAAAAAAAAAAAAAAAGAAAGAAACAACTTAAATTTCCATGAATTAATGAAGGGATCAATAAAATGCAGTATATTCACACAAAGCTAAACTTTTTTTTTTTTTTTTTGAGACAGGGCCTCACCCTGTTTCCCAGGCTGGAGTGCAGTGCTGTGATCACAGTTCACTGCAACCTTGATCTCCTGGACTCAAGCAATCTCCCTGCCTCAGCCTCCCAAGTAGCTCATACTACAGGTGTGAGCTGCCACACATGGCTAATATTATAAAATTTTTTGATAGAGACAGGGGTCTCCCTATGTTGCACAGGCTGGTCTTGAACTCCTGGGCTCAAGGGATCCTCCTACCTTGGCATCCCTAAGTGCTGGGATTAAAAGTGTGAGACACCACGCCTGGTCAACAATGCAATATTACTAAGCCATAAAAAAGAATGAAATATTAGTATGTGGTACAATATAAATGAACCTCAAAAATAGTATGCTAAGTGAAAGAAGCCATATATGAAAAGCCCTGTATTATATGATTCAGTTTATATGAGATGTCCAGAGTAGGCAAATCCATAGAGACAGAAAGTAGATTACCAGGGGCTGGGGAGAGGGAAAGTGAGGAATGATGGCTAATGGACTTGGGGCTTCTTTTGGGGGTGATTAGAATGTTCTGGAATTAGCTGCTGGTAATGACTGCACATTATTGAACATGCTTTTATTTTATTTTACTTTATTCATTTATTTTTTGAGACAAGGTCTGGCCCTATTGTCCAGGCTGGAGTGCCATGGCACCATCTCAGTTCACTGCAGCCTCGACCTCCTGGGCTCGAGTAATCTTCCCCTCAGCCTCCCAAGTAGCTGGGACTACAGTCACATACCACTACGTCCTGCTACTTTTTCTATTTTTTGTAGAGATGGGGTTTTGCGGCCGGGCGTGGTGGCGCAAGCCTGTAATCCCAGCACTTTGGGAGGCCAAGACGGGCGGATCACGAGGTCAGGAGATCAAGACCATCCTGGCGAACACAGTGAAACCCCGTCTCTACTAAAAAAATACAAAAAACGAGCCGGGCGTGGTGGCGGGCGCCTGTAGTCCCAGCTACTTGGGAGGCTGAGGCAGGAGAATGGCGTGAACCCGGGAGGCGGAGCTTGCAGTGAGCTGAGATCCAGCCACAGCACTCCAGCCTGGGTGACAGAGCGAGACTCCGTCTCAACAAAAAAAAAAAAAAAAAAAAAAGAGATGGGGTTTTGCCATGTTGCCCAGGCTGGCCTCAAACTTCTGAGCTCAAGCGACCTGCCCTTCTTGGCCTCCCAAAGTGCTGGGATTACAGGCGTGAGTCACTGTACCTGGCCAAATTGTACACTTTTAAAGGTGAATTTTATGATACATGAATTATATCTCAACTTTAAAAATAATGTGCAGAAAAAAAAAAAACACACTGCTGCATGTAACAACATGAACAAATATAAAAATATAACATTAGCAGAATGAATCAAGACACCAAAAACTACATAGGGGTTATTCTATTTATGTGAAGCTCAAAAACGAATGTAGGTGTGAGAAGTCAAAAGCGTGGCTGCGTTTAAGAAGAGCAGGATACTGACCGAGGGAACACCGGGGGTGGTTCTGCGGCGCTGGGAATGTTCTATTTGTTGATCTGGGTGGTGGCTGCATGGGTGCGTTCATGGCATGTTTTACTTCAGTAAAAAGTATATTAAACTATCAAGAGAATACAATCAACTGGCCAGAAATGTAAGGTTTGTTTCTGCGCTCTCAATTCTGTTCCACTGGTCTATGTGCCTATCTTTATGCCAATACCATCCATCTTGATTACTGTAGCTTTATTTATTTATTTATTTATTTATTTATTTATTTAGATAGAGATGGATTCTCGCTCTGTTACCCAGGCTGGAGTGCAGTGGTGCGATCTCGGCTCACTGCAAGCTCCACCTCCCGGGTTCACGCCATTCTCCTGCCTCAGCCTCCCGAGTAGCTGGGACTACAGGCTCCCACCACCACGCCTGGTTAATTTTTTGTATTTTTAGTAGAGGCAGGGTTTCACTATGTTAGCCAGGATGGTCTCGATCTCCTGACCTCGTGATCCACCCGCCTTGGCCTCCCAAAGTGCTGGGATTACAGGTGTGAGCCACTGCTCACACCCAGCTAATTTTTGTAATTTTAGTAGAGACAGCGTTTCACCATGTTGGTCAGCCTGGTGTTGAACTTCTGACCTCAAGTGATCCACCTGCCTCAGCCTCCAAATTGTTGGGATAACAGGCGTGAGCCACCATGCCTAGCCAATTATTATTATTATTAGTATTATCATCATCATTATTATTATTTCTAGAGACGAGGTCGCCCTATGTTGTTCAGGCTGGCCTCGAGCTCCTAGGTTCAAACGATCCTCCTGCCTTAGCCTCCCATAGTGCTGAGACTATAGGCGTGAGCCACCACAACTAGCTGATCTTCTTTATTTTAATAATGTTTTATAGGCCGAGCACAGTAGCCTTTTTTTTTTTAACTAAAAATACCAAAATTAGCTGGGCATGGTAACCAGTGCCTATAATTTCAGCTACTTGGGAGGCTGAGGCAGGAGAATCGCTTAAACCCAGGAGTCAGAGGTTGCAGTGAGCTGACATCACACCACTGCACTCCAAAAAATGTTTTATAATTTTCAGAATACAAGGCCCACACTGCTTTTTAAAATATTTATTTATTTATTTATTTAAATTGTTATAATTTTTTTTTCGAGACGGAGTTTTGCTCTTGTTGCCCAGGCTGGAATGCAGTGGCATGATCTCGGCTCACCACAACCTCCGCCTCCCTGGTTCAAGTGATTCTCCTGCCTCAGCCTCCCAAGTAGCTGGGACTACAGGTGCACACTACCATGCCCAGCTAATTTTGTATTTTTACTAGAGAGGGGTTTCTCCATGTTGGCCGGGCTGGTCTCAAACTCCCGACCGCAGGTAATCTGCCCGCCTCAGCCTCCCAAAGTGCTGGGATTACAGGTGTGAGCCACCACGCCCAGCCTAAATATCTATTTCTAAGTATTTTTTTAATTTTCGATACTATAGTGAATGGAATTGTTTACCTAATTTCATTCTTGAATTATTGCTAGTTTAAAGAAATACAATTTCAAAGTAACAAAACTAGTTACCGGTAGGTTAAAAAAAATTAAAGAAAGAAAGAAAAGAGGCTGAGCGCAGTGGCTCACACTGTAATCCCAGCACTTTGGGAGGCTGAGGAGGGCGGATCACGAGGTTAGGAGATCGAGACCATCCTGGCCAACACGGTGAAACCCTGTCTCTACTAAAATACAAAAAAATTATCCAGGCGTGGTGGCAGGTGCCTGTAATCCCATTTACTCGGGGGCTGAGGCAGGGGAATCGCTTGAACCCAGGAGATGGAGGTTGCAGTGAGCTGAGATTGCGCCACTGCACTCCAGCCTGGCGACAGAGCAAGACTCCTTCTCAAAAATTAAAAAAAAGAAAAGAAATACAATTAATTTTTGTATATTGATTTTGTATCCTCCATTCTTGCTAAATTTATTTATTATACCTAATAGGGTTGTAGTTTTCTTTGGTTTGGTTTTGTTTGTTGTTGTTGTTTGGGTTTTTTGTTTGTTTCTTTGTTTTTGAGACAGGGACTCTCTCTGGCACCCAGGCCTGGAGTGCAGTAGCAGGATCATAGCTCTCTGCAGTCTTGACTTCCTGGGCTCAAGGGATCCTCTCACCTCAGCCTCCCCAGTAGCTGGGGCTATGGGCACGTGCCATCACGCCCAACTGATTTTTTTTTTTTTTTTTGTAGATACAAGGTCTCACTATGTTGCCCAGGCTGGTCTGAAACTCCTGGGCTGGGCTGGGCATGGTGGCTCACGACTGTAATCCCAGCACTTCGGGAGGCCGAGGCAGATGAATCACAAGGTCAAGAGATCGAGACCATCCTGGCCAACATGGTGAAACCCCGTCTCTACTAAAATACAAAAATTAGCTGGGTGTGGTGGCACATGCCTCTCGTCCCAGCTACTTGGGAGGCTGAGACAGGAGAATTGCTTGAACCCGGGAGGCAGAGGTTGCAGTGAGCCGAGATCAAGCCATTGCACTCCAACCTGGGTGACAAGAGCAAAACTCCATGTCCCCCCAAAAAAAAGAATTCGGGGAGTTCATAAAGTGAAAGCAAGGTTATTAAGAAAATAATGGAGGCTGGGCGCAGTGGCTCATGCCTGTAATCCCAGCACTTTGGGAGGTCGAGGCGGGTAGATCACGAGGTCAGGAGATTAAGACCAGCCTGGCTAACACGGTGAAACCCTGTCTCTACTGAAAATGCAAAAAATTAGCCGGGTGTGGTGGCGGGCGCCTATAGTCCCAGCTACTTGGGAGTCTGAGGCAGGAGAATGGTGTGAACCCGGGAGGCGGAGCTTGTAGTGAGCCAAGATCGCACCACTGCACTCCAGCCTGGGCGACTGAGCCAGACTCTGTCTCAAAAAAAAAAAAAAAAAAAAAAAAAAAAACAAACTTCTAGAGGAAAAGACATAAAACATCAATAAGAAATTCTGCAATTATTAGAAACAGTGTAGAAACCACAAAGGGTGGCAGTCATGCATTGCAGGGGACACCAGTGAGTTTCCACCTCGGTGAGCCAAGGAAACTCCCGAGCAGACACAGAGGCACGAAAAGCAGCATCTACTCCTTACCGGGCATCAGTCACAGCCCCACTACTCCCTCAAATGCTTGACCTGGTGCCAACTTATTCTAAAGAGGAAAAAGATTTTCTTCAAACAGAGGGAAGACAAACAATAAAGGAAGGATGGATAAAGTTACCAGATGGAGGAATAGCTGTGCCACAGCTGCTAGGAGCCACAGTCGTGCTGGCTGTACATGAAACTACCCATCTAGGCCAAGAATCACTCGAAAAGCTGTTAGGCCGGTATTTCTACATCTCACACTTGCCAGCGTTTGCTAAAACTGTGGCGCAGCAATGCGTTACCTGTCGACAGCACGATGCAAAGCAAGGCCCGTCTGTGCCTCCCAGCATACCAGCCTATGGAGCAGCTCCTTTTGAAGATCTTCAGGTGGACTTCACAGAGATGCCTAAATGCGGAGGTAACAAGTATTTACTCGTTCTAGTGTGTACTTACTCTGGGTGGGTGGAGGCTTATCCAACATGAACTGAAAAAGTTCGTGAAGTAACCCGTGTGCTTCTTGGAGATCTCATCCCTAGGTTTAGACTGCCCCTAGGAATCGGCTCAGATAATAGGCCGGCATTTGTGGCTGACTTGGCACAGAAGACAGCAAAGGTATTAGTAATCACATGGAAGTTACATGCCGCTTATCGACCTCAGAGTTTGGGGAAGGTGGAGCGAATGAATTGAACTATCAAAAATAGTCTAGGGAAAGTATGTCAGGAGACAGGATTAAAATGGCTACAAGCCCTTCCTATAGTATTGTTTAAAATTAGGTGTACCCCCTCTAAGAAAACAGGATACTCCCCCTATGAAATTGTGTATCATAGGCCTCCTCCTATGCTGCGAGGACTTCCGGGTACTCCCCAAGAGTTAAGTGAGATTGAATTACAGCGGCAGCTACAGGCCTTGGGGAAAATTGCCCAGACTATCTCAACTTGGGTAAATGAGAGGTGCCCAGTCAGCTTATTCTCCCCAGTTCACCCTTTTTCTCCAGGTGACCGTGTGTGGATCTAGGACTGGAACGTGGCTCCATTGCGGCCACGGTGGAGGGGACCCCAGACCGTTATCCTGACCACTCCCACAGCGGTAAAGGTGGAAGGAATCCCAGCCTGGATTTGCCACAGCCGCGTGAAGCCCGCAGCCACTGAGACCTAGGAGGCCAAACCAAGCCTGGACAATCCCTGCAAAGTGACCCTGAGGAAAACGACAAGCCCTGCTCCAGTCAGACCCGGAAGCTGACTGGTCTACGCACGGCTGAAGCATGAGGAAAATTGTCTTGGGACTTATTTTCCTTATAACATGGACTTGTGTGTTAAAAGCTTCCACTGCTTCTTCCCACACAGAGCACTGCCTTCAGTGCATACATCAGGTCACTGAGGTTAGACAATCTTTTTATTTTGTAGCCATTATGAATGCCTAGGAATTCCAAAGGCAACCTGTCTGTATAATAACACCCAGTACAAGGTATGTGATCCGGGAAGTGACCAGCCGGATGTGTGCTATGACCCCTCTGAACCTTCCATGATCACAGTCATTGAAATAAGACTAAGGACTAGTCCTTTCCTAAACGACACAAGTAAAGTAATAGGTAAAACAGAAGAAAGGGGGGTCCCCAAAAATGTAACCTTAAAAATCTGATGCCTGTGACGCTGTTAATAGTAAGCAATATGGAAAAGGATGCGGTTCTCTAGACCAGGAAAAAAGTTACACAGCAGCAAATAAGTATGTCTGTCAAGAATTATATTTATGTGACATGTGTCAGTACTGGTCTTGTGTCATTTAGGCTACCTGGAAAGAAGATGAAAAAGATCCAGTTGGGCTCCAGAAAGGACAAGCCAGCCGCAACCCTTTAGAACTGGTAATCACAAACCCCACAGGCCCAAAATGGAATAAAGGAAAATACATAACATTAGGCATTGATGAAAAAAGACTAGATCCTAGTGTAAGCCTCCTAATAAAAGGAGATGTTCAAAGACGCTCCCCAGAACCAGTATTTCAGACTTTCTATGATGAACTAAATGTGCCAGGACCTGAGATTCCAGGAAAAACTAAAAATTTGTTTTTGCAATTAGCCAAGCATGTAGCCCAGTCTCTAAAAGTCACTTCATGTTATGTTTGTGGAGGAACTGTAATGCGAGATCACTGGCCATGGGAAGCCCGAGAATTTAGTTCCTACAGACCCAGTTCCTGATGAGTTCCCTGCCCAAAAGAACCACCCTGACAATTTTTAGGTTCTAAAAACCTCAATCATTGGACACTATTGCATAGCTAGAGAAGGGAAGGGATTCACTCATCCTGTAGGACAGCTGAGTTGTCTTAGGCAAAAGCTGTATAATGGTACCGCAAAAACAGTTACATGGTGGAGTTCCAATTACACAGAAAGAAATCCATTCAGTAAATTTCCAAAGTTGCAGACTGTTGGGGCCCACCCAGAATTCCACCGGGACTGGACTGCCCCCACCGGGTTTTACTGGATATGTGGACACAGAGCTTATGCTAAGCTGCCTGCTCAGTGGACAGGTAGCTGTGTAATTGGCACCATTAAGCCATCTTTGTTCTTACTGCCCATAAAAACAGGTGAACTTCTAGGCTTCCCAGTTTATGCTTCCCGCGAAAAACGAAGCATAGCCAAAGGTGATTAGAAAGATGATGAATGACCCCCAGAAAGAATCATACAATACTATAGAGCCGCCACTTAGGCACAAGATGGCTCATGGGGATATCAGACCCCCATCTATATGCTCAACGAGTCATACAGTTACAAGCTGTTTTAGAAATTATTAGTAATAAAACCAGTCAAGCCTTGACTGTTCTTGCCTGGCAAGAAACTCTGATGAGAAATGCTATCTATCAAAATAGACTAGCTCTTGACTACTTGCTAGCAGCTGAAGGAGGAGTTTGTAGAAAAGCCAACCTTACTAATTGTTGTCTACACATAGATGATCAGGGGCAGGTAGTTGAGGATATGTTAAAGATATAGCAAAACTGGCACATGTACCCATGCAAGTGTGGCATGGACTTAATCCAGGAGCCATGTTTAGAAATTGGTTCCCAGCAATAGGAGGATTTAAAATTCTTATAATAGGAGTAATAATAATAATAGGAACCTGCTTACTGCTCCCTTGTCTGATACCTGTACTTCTCCAGATGATAAAAATCTTTGTCGCTACTTTAGTTCACCAAAATGCTTCAGCACCAGCATACTATATAAATCACTGTCAATCTGTTGCACAGGGAAACATAAATAATAAAAATAAGAGTGAGAACTCCTACTAATAAAATGAGTGAAAGTCTCAAAGGGGGGAAATGAGAAAAGAGAAAGACCCTCTCACATTGTTTTATATTGTTTTATCCTCAGTACCTGTTCTTAGGGGGGAAAAAAAAAAAAAAGAAGAAGAAGAACAATAAAGTAAAACCAAAGACAGGCAGCCCGAAACCAGGCCCAGGTCTGCCTGGCCTAAACCCAGTAGTTAAAAATCAACTCATGACTTAGAAACTGATGTTCCTAACATTGTATAGAAGAACATTGTGAAACTCCCTGCCCTGTTCCGTTTCTCTCTGACCACCGGTGCATACAGCCCCTGTCACATACCCCCTGCTTGTTCAAATCAATCACGACCCTTTCATGTGAAATCTTTAGTGCTGTGAGCCCTTAAAAGAGACAGAAATTGTGCACTCGGGGAGCTCGGATTTTAAGACAGTAGCTTGCAGATGCTCCCAGCTGAATAAAGCCCTTCCTTCTACAACTCGGGTCTGAGAGGTTTTGTCTGCGGCCCGTCCTGCTACAGTTCAACATGGAGGCTCCATCTTCCCTTTTTTTTTTTTTTTTGTCACCACCTGTAAAGAAACAGGCAACATGGCCCGGGCCAGGTAGAGAACTATCTGCATAATAAAAGATTGGGGTTGGGGACAGAGAGCTTTTCCCGCCCTATGAAAGTGACAGCTAGCCCTGACCAGTTTTTCTGGCCTTACCCAAATAAAACACCTGATCCGACCAATCTTTGGGCCCTATGTAAATCAGGCACCGCCTCCTCAAGCTCTTCTGTAAAACCTGCTGCATTTCACCACAAAACTGGCAACCCATTTCTCCCAGACCCGGGTCTGCTACCGAGAGCGCTTCTCCTCTTCCTGTCGCCTATTAAACTTCAGCTCTAAAGCCCACCCTTTATGTATCTGCAGTCTATTTTTCCATGGCCATCAAACAACGGGTATTTACCCCAGACAATGACACTTAAGTAATTTTTCGACACTTTCCGGAGGTAATTTGCCTATGCGTACCTTTAAAAGTTACAGAATTGGGCCGGGTGTGGTGGCTCACGCCTGTAATCCCATCACTTTGGGAGGCGGAGGCCGGCGTATCATGAGGTCAGGAGTTCAAGACCAGCCTGGCCAAGATGGTAAAACCCCGTCTCTACTAAAAATATAAAAATTAGCCAGGCGTGGTGGCGGGCGCCCGTAATCCCAGCTACTTGGGAGGCTGAGGCAGGGGAATTGCTTCAACCCGGGAGGCGGAGGTTGCAGTGAGCCGAGATCACAGCCACTGTACTCCAGTCTGGCAACAGATTGAGACTCTGTCTCAAAAAAAAGAGAAAGTTACAGAATTGGCCGGGCGCGGTGACTTGCGCCTGTAATCCTAGCAGTTTGTAAGGCCGAGGGAAGAGGAGTTTGAGATCAACCTGAGCAATATTGCGAAACGCGTCTTTACAAAATAATACCAAAATTAGCCAGGCGTGGTGGTACG